CTTTTCAATTGCCTACCCAGTTTAAAGTAGAACCTGTTTGCAACAATGATTTTGATGATTTTTAAATTTTTTTGAAATTTCTGGAAAGGTGATGAATGATTGATTTTCCAGGTCTAAAGCCACACTGAAAAGGTTCAATCAGTTTTTTTGACGGTGGACTTTAATCTTCGCACAACACGCTTGATAGGACTGAGGGATTTGCGCTTTTTGAGGATTGAGCAAAGCACACTTAGATTCAAATAGTCGGCCATGCTTGCTTCCGATCACATTTTGCAAAGAAGCTGATGCATGTACCTTGTCAGCTCTTCACCGACATGTTTAAAGAGCTCAGCCTCTTTGTTGTTCTTTCAACGGACAATCAGATCAGTGACGAGAGTAGAGGTTTGTTCTGTTCTCCAACGCTTCTAGACGAAGTAAGCACTTGCTTAGTGCATGGCTCGGCTTTTAGCATGTACTGAGCGGGCACCCTAATGTTAACACCCACATTGTCAGGTTTTCCCCTGTGTCCTTGCGCCTTCATAACATTATCGTACCGTGTTTAAAATATGGCAACTGCGCATCTCTTTATTTACGTTTTATATTTGAGCCTTCGCACTGTTCGCAGGGCGAGATTGGCGGCGGCAAATGTCAAACATTTTCTAGGCAATACAGAAGGTGAAGTTGTCACATCATTTGATTGCTTGTTCTTCCTTCAATTTCAACACATTACACAATCGAATCTATGATTACACAAACAAAAGGCATAGGCTATTTGTTTTTGTATCCTAGTTACTTTCCGCTATTACCAAATCTGGTTTGTATGATTTTTTACTAAAATATAGCGATTTATATTATATATGTATTTCGATGAAATATTGGGTAGTTCAAAAATTTTGCGCGAATTTGGCTATTTTTGAACAAAATTTTTCTTTATTGACAATTAATTTTATTTAATTATATTGACTATCTATGACCTTTTGCAATTTTCCGGTAGCTTCGTAATTTCAGTGTAAAATTTTAGTGACTTAACGGCAAGGAATTTTACCTAATGATTTTCAGCGGCTCTTTAGTTGGCCATTCACCTTGCAGAGAGTTTTACCGAGAGAAGAGAGAAGCCACCAAGGTCCGCCCTACGTGGTGGTTTCATCAAAACTTCTCAACTAAGCTCCATCAATTTTTTCCTGGTCATCAAGGGTCTACGTGATCTAGCGTTGAGATGATAAAACACAACAGTTTTCTATTGATAAATTTTGGATAGTGTTTTGAAGAGTTTCATGTGAGCTAGTCATTTGTTGAAAGTAGAGCTCATAATTGGTGGTTGATTTGATTGCAGTTGTTTCCCTTTCAATCCCACCATACACTCAGCCTCATCGACTTTAGAAGCCTTTGACCATGATTTTCAATCTAATATTTTTCATCACCCGTAATGAAACTTTACAGAACCGTTCGATTTTGTCGCATTTTAGAAGCAATTTTCTGATTGATTTTAGTCCTGTCAATCAAAATTCTTCATTTTAATTCAGCAGGCAACCAGATATCGAGTTTCTTTCAAATTCTTTTTTAAATTTTTTCCAACTGTCTCCCCTTTTTCCTGACGGCGCGTATGTCGGTCTTACTCTACCATTGCAACATTTCATATGCCTACTTTGACATTGAAAATTCGAGACCAGAATCGAGAAAATTACTCATGGGTCCAGCGGAACTCTGGAAAGCACACAAGAAATTTTAGCCTCCAATAGAAATGTATATGCCAATCAGGGACCCAAATGGTAACTGGGCACGTAGTAACGAAGAAAACACAAATTGCTTTGCAAAGCATTAAAGTAATGTATTCCACCCAAATGACGCAACTAATAATTTTATTTTGCCAGACTTTGCTGCTAACTGCCAGGAAAATCAGATGGCAATTAAAATATCAAGCCTAGAAGTGGCAAGCGCGATACGGAAACTGAGTCCAAATAAATCTCCAGACCACGACCTCATTACATCAAATATGCTAATAGAGCTTTCAAGAGTTGCACAAGCATTGCTCTCTGAACTCCTTAATGCTCTTCTAAACCTAAATTATTTTCCAAACGCGTGGAAAAAGTTACAGATATTAATGATAGCCAAATCAGGCAAAGACCACACAGAGTCAGCTTCTTACAGACCAATAAGCCTACTACCCAGTCTGGGGTCTAGGGTGAGTTTTCAAGCTTTCTACGGCTGCCTCCACGTTTGCCATGCTAAGCCGTTGGTTGAATATTTCCTGCTTATATCTTTGGATATTTGTATTACGATCGCAATGAGGTCCTTGTTGAGACTGCTTTTTGCTACAATAAATGTACGTCTATTGCCCAATAAAATTGTGTGTGTGATAGTATAGTACTTAGGACTGACCAAATGCAGTTTACACTCTTTCACTTCATGTTATCGTCTCTTTTACATGCCTCTATCTACCTCATGAACCAAAATTTATTATATATTTCGATTGAATCCTTACAGGGGACAGGAATTTTGTCAGTGTCGTCTCTGTTGTCGCTCACTACGCTTGCTATGTTTGGCTACTTCGTACACAACTGGCGCCAGCAACACTAAGAACCGCTGTCGACTATGCGCCGACCAGTACTCAAAGCGGCAAATCGGAATTCGACATCAACACCACTTTGATCTTGCCTTCAAGGAACGTAGCCGAAAGCGGAAGTAAGTTCAACCATCGTCATCTCAAGCCCGCTGGAATGTTGAAGACATACGAGTAAACCTCATCTTGTTTATAGTCCTGGTTTCTGAAAACCAAATATAATATTGTACTTACGTTGGAAATACTTGCCGTTTCTTATACTTACCTTATTTAATTTTTCAATCTTCAAATATAAGAAATATAAAGTTTTTTCTTTGTGATTCAATTCGCTTGCTATTGCTAAAATATATGTACAATATATAAATAAATTACTGAAAATATTGTGAATAAATATAATACAAGTAATAATCTTACTATTTTACGTTTGTTGAGTTTAAGAGATATGTATATATGCCATACATATGTATTTATGTATGTATAATAGAAATATGATTGCTATGTCGTTATCTCCTCAACCGTGGCAGAGCATTCCCCAGTTAAGACCCTTTTTAGTTTTGCAAAAGGAAAAGTACATAATATAAATGGCGCTTTTTGCCTAAAATGATCTACAAGTATCCATTTTTTTTTGGAAAAGTATCGGGTATAAGTCTAAATTGTCCTATAAAAATTGCAATAAAAATCTGTAGGGTTTCTTAATGAATTTTTGAGGCATTTAATGTACATATGCACGAGTATATAGTTCACTTTTTCGTATATTATTTTTTATTTATTGTATATTGATATTATTTACATATACTCGTACACTATACTAAACTCTGAAATTCAGCACAACTAAAATCCCAACCATAGGAGAAGTTGGCAGAGTTGGCTTTGTAGGAATTCAAAAAGCTATTTTTTTTTTAATTTTTTACCGTACAGGTACATGTAACATATGTACATTTAAAATATTGAAAAAAAAAATAATTAAAAAAATATTAAAATGTATTTAAAAAATCTAATAAACATCAGTAAATAAGTGGTAAAAATATTTATTTTAATAAAAAATGCTGGAGCTTTCCCTTTGAATGACTGAATTATAAATTTTAATTGCATTTATTCCTTCTTACTCTACATTTCTAATCAAATATATAATATGTAATCTATTGTACGTATGTATGTAGATCATATACCATTGGTGCTAGGTATCAGCTGGAGGGATTTTCGACCGAGCTCCTCCTATGCATTTTGCCTCTACAGTTCTCCCAACAAATAGAGGAGCCTACAGTTTACACCAAGCAGCCTCCGAACGGCTGGTGGGGTTTTTAAGATGAGCTTTTATTCCATTTGAATCTTATAAACTATCTGTTTCTCGTTCTCTGCCAAAGTAGTTGACGTTTCCCTACTTTTAATAATAAAAAAGCACAGAAAATTCAAAATGGAAATGTTTAGTATCATTCTTTGGCATTAAGTTTTTGAAGATTATCTCCTTCAAATCTTGGCGGTGGCTACGCCTCATCCGTTTTACCCAATTTTCGATGAGTCGTTGGAGCATCGAGTTTTCCTCCAAGACCTGAATCGAAGCGGGATTGTCCGCATAGACTTTAGACTTTACATATCCCTACAGGAAAACGTCTAACGGTGTGATATCACACGATCTTGGTGGCCAATGCTATGTGTAGGTAGTGGCACTGTCTTGTTGAAACCAAATGTCGCCAAGATCTCGAGATTCAATTTCAGGGATCAAATAGTTGGTTATAATGGCGCCATGACGGTCGCCATTGATGGTTACGTTCTCATTGGCATCAATTTTGAAGAAATATGGACCGATGATTCCACCGGTAAACAAACTACACCAACTAACACCAACTACTGTTATTTTTTCTAGATAAAATGACCGCTCTTGAATTTCTTCAGGTTACTCTTCGTCCCAAAAGCGACAATTTACATGCCTATTGAGCCAGAAATTGCTCTCATCGCTGAGAAAAATTTGGCTCCAAAACGTCGCATCTTTTTTCACTACGTGCTGGACGTGAACTATCCGGTGAAATGTTATTCAATAATGAATGCTGGGTCCCAAGATGGGTGATGGTGTACGCTCAGTAGGCCGATTATGTGGACCATCAGTTGAGCGAAGCACGCGAAATACACTCTTCACTGAAAGTGAATTTTCGCAATAAAGTTGACCGATTTGTACACGTTGCTCAGTCGTAAGTTCTTCCATGACGAAATGCCAAATAAAACTGAACAGAAATAACATCTGATCTGTCAAAAAAAGGAAAAAAGTACCTCTTCTTGGAGCACCCATTACATATATGAATAAATATGCATATGCACGAAATTAGTAATATTTAATAATAGTAATTAAAAGTAATATATTTATTTTATATTAACCAAAAAATTTTGTTGAATATTAAAATCAAAAACGCAAATAATTAGGATTTGTAAATTAAGAGAAATCTTTTTTGTACTGCAGAATACGAACCAGTTTTAGAGTCTGAATCAATCAGTTGATCAGTTAATCAGTTGAAAGTTGAAGTATTTAGAATGCAAATTTCACATATCGACTCTGGCGGCTCCAACGCATTGCTTTCATCCCTTAAAATTCAGAGCTTATTTTCTTACTGGCTTCTCCTAATCCTTCTATCATCATGGCGGAAGGTAATTTATATTTAATTAAAATCAAAAATTTGTTAAAGCCCATACAAATTTAAATTAAATTTCTGAGTTTTTTGCACAAGTTTTTTTTCCAGCTGATTCGAAAATCGGTTTTGCTAATCTTCGAAAAAAACAAAATCAAGTCGGTTCCATAATACCATCTTAAATATATTTGGTGTAGTAAAAAAAGTATATGTGTATTGACGAAAACAATGCCCCGGCCTATATAAAATTGGAGATTCTTTTATTGTGTACGAAGATTTTAGAAGATAAAAAAAATAAAATTTGTTTCTCTATATAATTTACAAAAACGAAATTCTCGCCCTCTAAACTTTTTTCCACAAAAACAAAATACACACATTTCAAACAACTACACCGGAGTTTGCTTCTTGTATCCGAAGTTGAAACTCAAATAAAAATCTTTACACCTTTGATGGATATATATATGAATACATCGTTTAACCTACATTTTTACATCACTCTTATGTTATATTGTGTATTTATTTACATTAATTTACGTGGTATATAAATCACTCAATTTATTTAATTACGCTTAACAATTTTTATAATTAATTTTAATTTTATTAATAATTTTGACTACACCTTTTCGTTGTTACAAGTTCTTTACCCGTTTGTTTCGCACCTTAGCAGCAGATGTCGCCCAACTAAAAAACTATGTTTCACCTTCCACAATCTCACTTAGCTCGTATTTCATTGATGGTGGATGTATTTGCTATTACGATATTTGAGCATTCGTTCACGGTTGCGGTATCACAACTGCAGATGGCGCTGAAAAGCGGCAAAAACGTCATACAGTAGGAACGGATTCTCCAGTATAATCATGATTTCAAACAATACCAGCTTATAAACAAATATATTACTTTTCTTCAAGTACATACATCTTTTAAATGGAATATCCGTTTTAATTTACGTTCGTATATCCAATTCAGTATCAATAATCAAACAAAAGTTAATGCTAAATTACGCGGCTATTAAATATAAGAATTAAATTGTGAAACTGTAAGGGAGTTGGCAGATATTTCAGAAATAAAAGTATTAAATTATTATTCTCAACAAATTATCGTTTAGAAAAAACTTGTCATTATATTGCGCAAAGAAAGATGTTTATGCATAACTTCAAATGTCTATTTATGTATATATGTATGTATTGACAGTCTAAAGTTTACAAATGACCTCTTTCAGAATCTAGCTTTTACAGGAAAAGTAAAGATGCCGACCTTTTCTTAAATTTAATTAAGTTCTGTATGTAGGAGAGTAAGTGCTTTGCAGAATTTTAAATTAAAAAAAATTAAATAAACTTCGTAGTTACTAATTAAACCGATTATTTTTTTTTATGGGTTTAAGTTTAACTGCGCCATCGTGCGTCAGGATGCGAAATTCTTTATCAGAGTATAGAGGAGTATTAAAACTATTAGGTGATTTCCCGAAACCGGCTAAGTGACGAGTATTTGGATATTATTCTGTAGCTTATATCTTTAAAAAGTTTTTTTTTTTAAATGTACACTAAAGTAATATGTTTTAAATTTGTGAGTAGTATAATATTAAATTGGCCCAGGCGAAATACAAATTGAGAATGCCTGCTATGAATAGTATTTTTAGAATATGGTAGTATGTAGTGATGTTGATGGTGCAATGCAGGGTTGTGGTGGCTACCGATCGATCGTATCGATTTCACTTAGGCTGCAACTACTCATCTTACATACGTTCCAACAATAGAGCGTCATGACGGTTGCTCCGTGTTTGTATATTCCCTTACAGTCGGGTGTTATAGTTGTGCGGTATGTAAGATGGTTAGTTGCAGCATTAGGCTTGACTAAGATCCATTGTGATGCCACAAAAACATGACCATCAGGCTTCATATCTGGTCATTTTGATACTCTAATGAGTTTTATTACATCCATTGTGTTTACGTCGGCCATCTTCTATAGACCATCCAGAAATATGGTCCTGAAATACCGAAACCTAGACCTGCTCAAAGCAGGACAGGCGCATAAGAGATGGGTGATCGTTTTCTCCTCCTCATTATTCTTGCAGGTTCTGCAGCATCTTCGTGATCGCATAGATTTGCGGCAAGTTGTAGTAGCATTCCACTTTGACGCGGCTTGTTCATATGTAAATTCCTTGAGACGGAGTTTGCAAAGGGCAAAGGCATACCAATGCGTTCTTTATCGAGAAGAATTTGCTTGGTTATACATACCTTGCCTAGCGAATTCAACCCTCTTATAGTTTCCATGCTACTTGTCTTTAAAACTCGCGCCCATTTACTTTGCAGCCTCCATGGTCGAACATATTTACGTTTGGATAACAGTGCAGTGGTCAGGTAGACTGAAAGTGAGTTCTATGGGAGGATTCACTGAGAGGACATCTCCGCCAACTCTCCCCTAAACATGTACAACACAGAGTTCATCTATGTCGATCACATAAATACATCATGTGTTGGGTGGAAATATGTATTCAAGGGTGTAAATGTAGTGGTATTAGCAATAAAATCCAAATGACATATTAAACTAATATTCCTAGAGGATTTAAAATATGACAAATGATGTCAAATGCGATCGTGGTACATGTGAGCCATGTAGGAGATCAAACATCACAGTGAGTGCTGTCAAACGGAACTGCTAATGCAGTAACTTGGGTTATAAATTTGATCTGCTCTTGTTCGTTGGTATGCAGTATATGGAACAAAAGAAGACATAGGTTCACAGACAAACGAGAGGCTAACTATATAAGAGCGCGACTATGATGAGGTCGCTGGCAAAGTTTACATCGTCAACAAATGTTGTCGTTAAAACAGTTATAGAAATGAATTTTATTTCATTTTTACCCGACGCGAAGAGGTGCCGTTGAATGTTAATGTTAAATCCTTAGCAGATAATGTTAATATAATTTCAAAATTAACGTTAAAGATGTGTTTGTGCGGTTTCAATTCCTATTCGTTTCGATGTTTTTCAAATTACTGTATGAATCTGACGAATATTTCATTAAGGTTTTTTAGTTTTGTGCACCTATAAGGATTTAGCGTCTACTCAGTAGAGATTTCTTCTTCGATATTATAGCAAATGATTGTCCGCACCCAAGAGAGAGCCCGCATAAGGGAAGGTATTTTTTGGTTTTAAAAATTGAGTTTACAACTTGTTTCACACCCGAATGATAAGGAGTCTACTTTTCTGAATTACTCGAAGAGGACCTCATTGTATAAGTTTGGCGGTGGAAACATTTAAGACACTTCGTCATAGAAACTGTTGTTGTTAGTTCAGCTTCTTCTGCTTAGTCGTTTAGTCGTTAGACCTTTTCATAGTCGGATAATGGAACGTCTATTCTCTCCTTATCTCCTGTTGTTTAATTTTCACTGCCATTCAGCGTGCTGGAGAAAGGATTTCTCCATTAATTCAATTTACTATGGACATCAGTCGTTTCTGTTCGCCGCATTTTTTCATAGAATTTTCAAGCGATATCCCTGTCCGCAAGCTTCCCAAAGCTATTCATATGATCACATTTCGACCCCCTTCTTTTTCTAACTGCAAAAGCAACTCGCTTCATTCTTCAACTCTCGGTCTCTCTCGAATGTGAAGCCGATGTTTTTAGTAGACGCTGCTCAGCCACTTTTTGCTCCTTAAGGCTGCAACTACCCAACGAGCGTACCAGCCGTCCATACTAACCTATCTTATGAGAGCGCCATATAAACACAAAGTTGTCACCGATTTCCCATAGCGTTGGTGACGTTTGTGTCGCAGAAACCAACGAAGTTTTGATTTTTCCGTAAAACCAGCTCGGCTCATTTTTCGTTGCTATACAAGGTTGCCAGTATAGCCTTTCTTAAAGTAACATTAAATAATCGAAGATAATGCGTAGTTTCGTTCAAAAGAAATGAAAAATAAATGCGTAACTAATTATTTGTTACCATATAGATCATATATATTTGATTGGCGTTTATATTCAAACCCAAGAACTATGAAATATGTTGACGAAAATTATGAATTTGTTCAAAAGTGTGCAAACACACAGGCAGCTGGCAACATTTCGCCGCTCTCAGCGGCGTCGATAACTCGTGTATGTATTTCACTACTGACGTCGTCAGTTATGGACGGCTGGTGAGTAAAATGGGTAGTTGCAGCCTTATGCCGCTCGACAAACAACGCCGATTGAAGAGTTGTAAATACTTTTTTAGTTGCTCCAAGACGGTTTGGATGAAATTCGCAACCGCATTGCAAGAGTTGGAGAAACTTGAATTCGTCAGTACGTTTCCGAGTCCAAACCGGACTCGATGCAGTGGATAAAAAAGGGGAAAGATCACCAAAAAAATTTTGAAAAAGTTGGTTTGGAAGAATATGGCTACAAAGGGAGTATAATTAATTGATTACTTGCCAAAGGGAACTAAAATGAACGGCCAGTATTACACTTTGTTGAGGCAGTCGTACAGAAGAACGTGGCAAGTTACCACAGGGAGTGCTGCTTCTTCAAGAGAGCGTAACCGTTCACATCGCTCGCGTTGCAAGGCTACTGGATTTACGGAAGTCGACCTGGCTCCCAGTGACTATTCCCTTTTTTCATATTTAAGAAAAGAAGTTACGGTGACCAAGATTTACAGCCGACAGTAATATGAAAGTGGCCGTAGAAAACCATTTCGAAGATAAATCTAAAGAATATCTTTTCAGTGGTATAAAGGCATTGTATGCATGACGTGAAAAGTCTCTTGAGCAGGATTTTATTGAAAAATAAAAAAAAACATAAAACTATACATTTTTGTCATAATGACTTTAGGCCGCTAACTTATCAGCAGGCCTTCGTATATTATTTATTTACAGAATATCAAAATAACTTCACAATTTTTTTAGACTAGAGACTAAATACAAAATAATGAGATAAAATACGAAATTCGGAGCGCTCCTTACTTTTTCCCTTTCCAATGTGTAGCTAAAAATGGTGCTAAAAATATTAACTTTTTAGAAGTCGCTTAGAAGCGTAATTAATTGATATTCCACTTTCTGTTCTTGAAATATTTGTAGTCCTATTAACATGTTATCTCATGCCTAGATCATTTGCCATTATTCAAGGTTTAATTTTTACAAGAAAAATAAACGCCAAAATGTCGTTATTAATCTTTTTTATAATTATTTAATATTTTTTTTTCAATTCAAGAATTGAATACTGAGAATTTTTTTTTTTAATTTATTTTAAACTATGTTACTTAGAACTTAATTTTTTATGTTGAAAAAATATGATTGCGTCACAATTTCCAGTTTGGCAATATATTAATCAATGATAACTTAAGTCTAATAGCCTTTGACAGCTCATCGGTAACCGGTGCAGGTGTCTTTTGGCATCTCGATAAATAAAACTGAACAATTTTTTTTTAGTTTTGTTTTTCTCTGGTATGCCAATGTAACGATGACCGCTTTGAGCGAGCTCATGAAAACGAAACTACACATTGTATGTAATTTGCGTGGGCCTAGCTATTCATCGAACGAGCAAACACTACTCTTGTGCTATACGCCCCCACATCGTTATTGATCGCTCAGCCGTCTCAATTTCAAGCGCGTTGCCAGTGCAGAATTCAAATTTTTACGCAAACTTCGAAAAATAAAATAAAAATAAAAAAGAAGTGTCTAAGAAATTCTCTGATATGCCGGCAAATGCGTGAAATTTGCGAGCATAAGGAAGGGAAATTTGTAAAATAATAAAAATAAAGCAAGGATGGCTAAGTGTTTCCTCTCGGCACATCTTATTTAGGGAATTTTTTTTTATTGCACACGTTATTTAGATTTTTG